ACAATGAAAATCAATTGTGCACAACCAGGGCTGTGGGCACCACAAACGAAAACACGACAGACTGTACACGCACGGCAAGAGCCGTGACACGCGCACACTCGCTGATGCTGGTTGTTGGCTGCTGGCTGATAGCTGCGTAGCGTAGCCCATTTAGGCAATATAACTGGCTGCAGCTGCTGGCTGGTTAGATAACGCTAGCTACCATCCACAAAACCCAGCGACGACAATAAAACCGGCCGGTCACCACCACTGTCCACCAACTGTCCACCAACTGGATCAACATCTGCCAACCTCTTCCAACCAAACATATCTCCAACGGACAACTTCCACCATGACAACCATATTTCTCGACCCGATCCTCCATATCTTTGGACTCCCTTATTTTCCTGCTTTGAACTAGTCCTTCCGTTTGCAACGAATGTCGTGGTTTGAGCAAGGATGTCTCCCTTTTCATCTTTCTTTTGTGCATGGTAGGTTTGAATGCAGAAATTCTGTAGCGTGGGTGGGCACGAAGAGCCACAGCGGCGGCCGGGGAGGGAAATGCACCGCAAAAAGGTCGCGGTGGCAGCAAGCCCAGAGGAGAAGAGCCACAGCGGCGGCCGGGGAGGGAAATGCACCACAAAAAGGTCGAGGTGGCAGCAAGCCCAGAGGAGAAGAGCCGCAGCGGCGGCCGGGGAGGGAAATGCACCGCAAAAAGGTCGCGGTGGCAGCAAGCCCAGAGGAGAAGAGCCGCAGCGGCGGCCGGGGAGGGAAATGCACCGCACAAAGGTCGCGGTGGCAGCAAGCCCAGAGGAGAAGAGCCACAGCGGCGGCCGGGGAGGGAAATGCACCGCAAAAAGGTCGAGGTGGCAGCAAGCCCAGACGAGAAGAGCCGCAGCGGCGGCCGGGGAGGGAAATGCACCGCAAAAACGTCGCGGTGGCAGCAAGCCCAGAGGAGAAGAGCCACAGCGGCGGCCGGGGAGGGAAATGCACCGCAAAAAGGTCGCGGTGGCAGCAAGCCCAGAGGAGAAGATCCGCAGCGGCGGCCGGGGAGGGAAATGCACCGCAAAAAGGTCGCGGTTGCAGCAAG